AGGCTGGGTGGCAGGGCGTGGGGCTGAGTGCCAGGGCCTCGAGGTGGCTGTCAGGGTCTGGGGCCGGTTGTTGAGGTGCTGAGTTGGCTGGCTGGGCGGGGGGCTGACTGTCAGGGCGTCGGAGGGGGGCTGCAGGGCTTCCAGGCCTCTGAGGTGGTTGAGTAGAGTGGGGTGGCGGCAGGACCCCACCAGCACCCCGGGGACCCTTGTACTTGTGAGGGCCCTGGATACGCCTTCACCCTTCCTGCATGAGCAGGTGGGCCCTGGTACGCGGCTTGGTTCCCCTAGGGCTCAGGGCTCAGTTGTGAGGCACCGTGCTGGTCTGGGAAGCCAGACAGTGTTCTCCCACCAGGACTCCCCCTTCATTTACTTACTGTGTTTTTGCACACAGATTACAATTAATTCTTCCCCATAACAGTTTTGCAGTTTCTGGATGCTTGAAATGGCATTTTCATCTTTGACAGATAAGATTTGGCCCTAATTATTTTGGTTCCTGCATCTCTTCCTTCAACATACATTCTCCTAGTGTTTGTCCATTTCAATCCTCCTTCAGCTACTGCTTTTTTTTCTTAATTTCTATAGTAATATCTTCCATCTCATTTCTCTCTTTCTTGTCCTTCACCTTTTGTTTTTCTGTCTTTTCTTTTCCATTTTATTTACTTCTCAACATCTGCTCTTGAAGTTGGATGGTGAGGTTCAGCCCACACTTCTCGTCAAAACAAATTAAAGCAGTAGTTTTAGGTTTAGTTTAAGCTAATCTGATTTAAAGACAATTTGGCCAGAAAGTGTTGACAGTGCCAAATCAAATTTAAACAGAAATACAAGTCTATGTACCAAGTTGGCCTTTACCTAATCCTCATCTTAAAATACGAGTTCTCATCTCTTAGGGGTTATTGCACTGGCTCAAATTTAGTAGGACCCTGGGCACTCCTCAGTCTTCCACAAGGAAGAGTTGTTCATGTAAGGGAATGAAGAGTAATGAAACCGCTTTGATTCAACCTAGAACATTTTGTGCAATCCTAAATTACACTTTTTAATTTTCTTTGGGAGTTATGTGATTCTTTTCTCCCCTTTAAGAAATTTAATTTAAAAAAAAAAAGCCACCACAAAGCAAAAATGCCAACAAAGGAGTTAGAATATTCTACAACTATCTTCTCATTTTTTTAGTGAAGGCTACTTGTTAAAATCCATCTGAACTAAAAAATCATTTAAACTCCCTTCAAATTTCTTTTACATAATTGCTATACCCCTTTTAGAGCCCCCCAAATATACAACTTATTCTACTACCGGGTAAAATTCTGCATCTATAAAACTATGGTCTGAGTAGTCTTCATGTGATGTTAAGAAAATGAAACAGATTAAACCATATCCCAAGAAATAATTTTTACCAGAACCACAGTGTTTAAATAATGCTGCCAGGAGTAGGAAGTAATCTGTTCTTCTACTCTCCAGTAGCCTCAGTAGGGAAAAAAATTGAGATGTAACAGATATTCACAAAGACATAGAAAATTAATCAGCATTCTGTGTTTTATGCTAAATATATGTTTTTTAAAAAGCCAAACAATGAGGAGAGTTCGTTTTGTTTGAAAATTGGACTATTGAGAAAAGACAATTCCAGAGGAAGCAGCAATGTTACTTAGAACCTGGTCAAACAAAACGAGATCATCATCTCATCAGAGAACCACATCTCTGACAACAACACTGCGTTACAGGTGATATTTTCCTAGCTATATGCGTGCATAGACATGGAGATAAGTGTCTTGCAGCATTTTCAAAAACAAACAAATGTGTTAAGTACAGTTAGGCTGTGAAGAAATTGTTTTCATTAAAAAAACAGTGACATTTTCCCTTCTGTTTCTTCTGAAATTGTGCAGAGACACTTTTATTACATTGTGAGGTTTTATTTAGCAAGGTTTTTTGTTTTTACAAACAATTCTGATTTGAAAATAAATAAAATAAACAATATTCCAAAAGTTTAAGAAAACCTTTATTTCAGTCTCTAAGTCAGACACTCTGTTGTGCAGCTTTAGGTGCTGCTGCATCCTCTACCTATAATGTTAATATGGCAGCTAAGATTTTTTTTTCTGTTTTAATGTATAAGTTAATTTTGTGATCTGATTTGTGATCTAATTATTGAAAAATATGACTAAATGATATTTTTATGACATGAATGGAAAGCAAAAAATACTATAAAAACACAGATAGAAATATCCAGTTTCTAGAGACTTGAACAATTATTTTTTTAATATTGTAAAGCACTTTGTAGGTATTGAGCATAAATACAGTTACACTTCTTTTAAATTACATTAATCATGGAGAAAATGTATACGTTACAGGAAACAAACTATGGTATCTATTTACATTTAAATGGTAGTACCTTGAAAATCTTCAGAAAATACATGCCAGTATCTTAGTAAATTCTGCAATAAAAACTAGTATATTTCATATTACAGTTCATTCTGGAAACAAACTTACCCACTTACTACAGACCACACAATTATTTTAATGGGTTAAAGAGTAATGACTGGGGTTTTTTAAAGGTAACTTAGCATTTCTTAGCATCGTTTAATATTGTTGAACACTGTTTAGTGTTGTTTATGTTAACTATAAACAACTCAATAACATTCTGATTCCCGATAGGTTATGGAGGTCAACTTTTAAGTCTTCTACCATAACACAGTGGTGAACTCAGATGACTGTTTCCTCCATATTTTAGTGACAGAAGATAATAAGTCAGAACATGGCACAAAAAGCAGGGATGCTAAAGATTCCCCAAAGCACAGAAGTATCAGAAGCAGCAGCTGTAGCAGAGGTAATGATTGTAGGCGACGCAGTAGAGAATACAGAAGTGAAAATTCTCACGCTAACTATTCTGAGGGCTTTGTCAGTGACTTGCTCTGAAACAGCTAGAAGCAGCAAATGTTTAGAAATACCAGGAACTGAAGAGAAGAAAACACAGAAAAAGTTAAAAAAGAAAAAGAAGAAAAAAGGACAGCGTATCTTCCCCCAAGATGATAAAAAAGGTACTTTGTTTTCTGGTAGTAGTAAAATGAGACTCTCTTGAGAAATATAGCCGTTCCCTTTCTTTGGCATTTTTTCAGTAATTAGGAAGACAGGGGAAATAGTTTTTCAGTGAAGAAAAATAATAAATCACGTTTCAAATGCTAGGAAGGGGAGGGAAGAGAGATAGAGATTCCCTATTGTGTCATCCCACAATACTTGGCGATCCAAGAGGCAGGATAATCACCTGAGATGTCGGAGTACCTCTGCAATCCTTATTCCTCAGTTTTATTCTGAGGATTTGAAAACGGCTCTCCCACATATACTGCAATTTCTGGTTTTGACCATGCATCACATGATTAGTCTGAAAAAGCCTTTCCTGAGGAAGGTTACTCAAAAACTGTATGTCTGCACAAAAGTGTCAGTTTTGATAAAAAAAGCCATGTTTTGGCCAGCTTAGTCATGGTGTATCATGTAAAATTAAGTTTGTGCTTCAATGGAATGACCATATAGCACAAATATATTCCCTTTACATAAATGTTAACAGTGAAGAATTTTTTCATGTCTGCATGTTTTCATATCTAGACCCATACTTTCTTAAATCCCACCATGCCACATCAAAAAGTGAGTGTAAAACCAATGACGCTTTTCCTGATGAGCTTCAAAATTTCATCTAGATCTACCAAATCTACAAGATGCAAATCAACCAAAAAAAGAGAGAAGAACCACTGATTATCTCTTCTATTATATAACTAATATGCTGCTGTCAAGAAGTCATACTGGCATGAAACTAACAGACCAGAAAGAATAACCACATTTTAAAAATCTATTTAGCAGAAGAATCACTATTGGCTACTAGCTGTGTTGGATATTTTAAGTGGTGGTTTTTGCTTGGTCATGGCTACTTGAAATGATCAATTTCCCAGGAACACAATTACAACCTACCTGTATAGACGTGTATAGATTTTACAGTATTTTTGTCAGCTGTTGCAGGGAGGTATTTTCCCATTTCTTTTACATCCTCTCATTCCATTCTGGCAAAATAAAATAATAATGTAATGGTTGTTCTCATTTTGCAAACATTTGTGTGACAATATTTGTGGTCATATTGTAGTCTTCCTGCAGTGGAATCGTATTACAGAGAACATGCCGGTGTGATGCTTGCATACCTTCCATTTGCTTTGGTTTTCACCTCTGATGAGTTTTTTTCACAGCACCTGTTAATTTTGCTCACCGCAGAAGGTCTTGAACATGTCTGACCTCAGCTGACTGCTATAATTTCTTCTCTGTTTACTTGAACCTCCATGATAGTCCTTCTTAATCCATTTAAAACATACGTAAAAAAATAACTGCCCTGCCCAAATCACAGTCTCGCCTCCTTTTGATTCCTAATCTCAGATTCTTTTTATCCTTTTCTTTTGCTATCACATTGAATTTGATAGTCCATTCTCCCTGTGTGGCTCTGTATGAGCTTGCGCGGCTTTCTCTCCTCTATCAGCAGGCCCATCAGAACAAAGACTGTCTGGTACGTATCCTGAAACGGTGGAGCACATCGGGTATTTCAGGAGTAAGAGCAAAGGACAGACAAACTCCATGATCATCAGTCTACCCTGTTGTGCCCAGCTGTATAACTGACCCCCTTCACACTTTCCTCGGACTTGCTGCCTCGCACACCAGGCATGGGTGTCAGGGCCCAGGCCAGACGCCAGGCCCTGCCAGGGGAAGCGGAGGAGCAGAGCTGGGCTGCAGCTGTGGAGAGCAGGAAGGTTGCTGCGGCTGCTGCCAGCAGGAAAGGGGAGAGAGAGGAATAGGTGCTGCTGCGGCAGGGAAGAGCCGTTTCCCCACTGAAGCCACTGCCCCAGGCATCTCTGTCTTCCCAGAT